CTGCCCTGATACTTAGTGCTATTTCTACACCCGCCAGTCCATAAGGACCTGCTGTCGGGTCTCCAGATAAACGGAGGATGTATCTCGTCGACTCCCCGTTTAGTCGAGGTGAGGTCAGGCGAATGACTACACTAGGGTCCTGTCTGCGTGTTTCGGAGACACAGCATGCATCAATGGTACGAGATTCTAGAGTCTTAACCAGTCAGGCCTGTTGGCCGATTTAACATAGGGTATGTGCGTTGAAGGCTCCAATGTGTGGTTTGGAGCGAGGTTGTCAGGTTTTTTTCACTTACTCAACCTTAAGTGCAAATATCGCTGTTTCAGGATGGATGTGTTTCATCATATAGCTTGCATTAGAGATGAATGCATTAACTAACGTACATATCTTGAACTTCATCAGATCTGACGATTCAGTGAGTTACTTAAAGTTGAACAAAGAGTCCATTTGCATCGACGTACGTCATTTTTGGCACGTGCGATGTTTTTCTAGATCTAGGCACAAACACATAAGCAGTTTGTCCCGTATTGTTTTATAATCGTGAAACAGTCTTTAAAAGCTAAAAATTTGCGAACAACTTACCCGATTATGAGGAACAAAGTAACAAATGAGAACAGTAGATTGCCTTGTCAGGTTGTAGCCCCCAAATACCCTGGTATGGCCGAGAGCGGGGTCTGTTCGCCCTCCCTCTCGAAATACTCTCACACGGCCACGCGTATACAGCCTCTGCCAGGGAAGCCCTACTCACTGCCTTCTCGTGGCGGGGGTGTTGTTTACAAAAATGAGAGGACTGAAAGCGAATGTCCGGCGCTTTAACCGGATTCCAAACTAATGTTGCACATGGGCTCCAGTATCCTGCGGGAACAAATGGCGTATGAACCAATTTTCGTCACCGGCGACCATGGGACTGCATCTCCTTACGATGCTCCACTGCCTTGTGGGTTAGACCTTTAGGTCAAAGGCTCGGGGTGTGGTCCCCTAAGATAACCACCTGCTTCGGTCTGGGCACCCGGGCAGTATCACAGCCCACACGCAAATGATGAACTCTCTATATCTATGGAAAATACTTTTCTCGCTTCGAATAACAATAAAATGATTCAAATTATTATCATCACTTATTATTATTATTATTATTATTATTATTATTGTTATTATTATTTACTACGACATTATTCACCCTCTTTTATTCCTACTCTGTCTATACTTATTTTTTCGACTTATACAGCAGCTCGTCTTTGGTGGAAATTCGACTGTATCTAAACGTTCTCGAGTCACTGTCCGGTTGAAAATTGTATGTTACCACCGAATACGAGTACTGAAGCAGTTTTTCTGAAACCACGTGCACCATTCAAACTGGCTGCCTTCAACGTTCGCACATTTATGCAGGTCGGACAACAGATAGGGCTGGCTATGTCTTTGGAAAGTCTTAATATCGATGTTTGTTGTCTATCCGAGACCCGTATTCAAGACTCTGGCGAAGTACTACAAATTCGATCTCCATCTGTCGCTTCGAAAAGCTTGTTTTACGTGCGCTTATCCGGGGACCCTGTGGCATCTTCGTCTGGTCTTGCTGGCGTTGGTGTCGCACTAAGCGCTAGAGCTGAGGCAGCACTAGTCGATTGGATCCCCATTAACAGTCGGTTATGTGCTGTTAGATTAGAAAGTTCCATCAAAGTGAGAAGAAATCGGCGTGAGAAACGATGTCTTTTCGTCATCTCCGCCTATGCCCCGACAGATTGCAGCCCGGATGCAATCAAGGATGAGTTTTACCACCAGTTATCTGTTCTTCTCCAGAAAGTGCGTTCGACAGATATTGTAGTACTAGCCGGAGACTTGAATGCTCAGGTCGGGCGTCTAGGCACAGAAGAGAGTCGTTTAGGTGGCCGATGGGGACTCGTTGGTCGCAGGTCAGATAACGGGGACCGTCTACTGCAACTTTGCACAGACCACAACCTGTTTCTGGCTAGCACTAACTTTCGGCACAGTCATCGCCGATGTGCCACCTGGCGTCCTCCCTCTGCATCTCAAGCCTGGACTCAGATTGATCACATCGCGATCAGCTACCGCTGGCGTGGTTGTGTACAAGACTGCCGCTCCTTTTGGAGTACCTATCTGGACTCTGACCATGCCTTGGTCTGCGCCAATCTTGCCTTACTTTTCAGTGGACAACGAAGTGACCGCCATCAACGGATTGATGTTAGCAAGCTGGTTGCAACTTCTGTTGCAAGTAAGTATCGAACCGAGCTAGCCTCTAGGCTAGCTACCACTCCACCGAAAAGTATAGATGAGCATTGGTTGCAATTGCATGACGCCATGAAAATGGCGGGAACAGTCAGTTGTGGGTTTGCGAAACGTCCCGCTTTAAGCACTGGGTTTCTTCTGGTTCCTTACAACTCATTGAAGCCCGTCGGTCTACTCCGGGTGACCGTGAGTTTGACCATAAACGAAGGATGTTACGTAAGGAAATTGGGCAAAGCTTGCGTAAGGACCGAGAAGCCTGGTGGTCGATGCGTGCTAATGAGCTGGAAGCAGCAGCTGCATCTGGTAACTACCGGAAGCTCTTCCAATTCATCCGAGCCACTGGCAGCAAGAAGTCTGGTGTGAGTGAAACAATCTGCGAGGATGATGGGATGCCAATCACTAACATCCATCGACGTCTTGGACGATGGGCAGAATTTTTCGAAGGGCAGTTCAACTGGCCTGCTGCTCCGGCAACATCGGTCAGACTGTCCTGCCCTCCATGGCCGGTGACGACTGATCCACCAAATGAGGAGGAAGTCCGCAAGGAACTCCAACTCTTGAAGCGTTACAAATCACCTGGCCCAGATGACTTACCTCCGGCTCTTTTTAAAGATGGTGGTGACTTTTTGACTAAGGAATTGACGACGTTGTTTACAAAGGTTTGGGAACTAGAGAGTGTACCAACGTCATGGAATGAGTCGATAGTTGTCCCTATCTTTAAAAAGGGTTCACGTCGTTCCTGTAACAACTATCGGGGGATAAGTCTACTTCCGATTGCGTCCAAGCTATTGGCTTCCGTCATACTTCGTAGGTTGTTCAAAACCCGAGAAAGATTGACTCGCGAGGAGCAGGCTGGGTTTCGTTCTGGTCGAGGATGTATTGATCATATCTTCACCCTCCGCCAAATGTTAGAACACCGCCATACTTATCAAAGGCCAACAATCGTAGTGTTTCTTGACATCAGGGCTGCCTTCGATTCGTTGGACAGGACTGTTCTCTGGGATTGTCTATTGAAGAAGGGTGTGCCTGAGAAGTTTATTAACATCCTAAAAGCCCTATATAAAAACACCTCAGGCAGAGTGAGGGCATACAACCACCTCTCTCCATTGTTCCATTCGAGCAGTGGGGTTAGGCAGGGTTGCCCAATCTCACCATTCCTCTTCAACTTTGCCATCGATGACATTCTGGAAACAGCTCTGATGAATGTAAGTAATGGTGGTGTGGATCTGTTGCCTGGAGAAAGACTTCTCGACCTTGAGTATGCGGACGATATTGTCTTACTGTGCGATAATGCCCAAGGCATGCAATCCGCACTTAATCAGTTGGCAATCAGTGTCCGTAGGTATGGTATGTGCTTTGCACCTTCGAAGTGCAAAGTACTTCTACAAGACTGGCAGGATTCTAATCCTGTACTCACCCTGGATGGTGAGCAGATAGACGTAGTCGAGAAGTTCGTGTATCTGGGTAGCTGCATAAGTGCTGGTGGGGGTGTGAGTGATGAGATCAATGCACGAATAGTGAAAGCCAGAGCGGCTTATGCCAATCTGGGCCACCTTTGGCGCCTTCGTGATGTTAGTCTGGCTGTAAAAGGTCGGATCTACAACGCGTCGGTGAGAGCAGTTTTGCTCTATGCTTGTGAAACCTGGCCTCTCCGAGTTGAGGACGTTAGACGACTCTCTGTGTTCGATCATCGCTGTCTCCGAAGGATTGCTGACATTCAGTGGCAACACCATGTCAGTAATGCAGAGGTTCGGCATCGTGTGTTCGGGCACAGAGATGATAATCAATTGGTGTCACCATCTTGAAACACCGACTTCGGTGGCTTGGACATGTTCTCCGAATGTCGTCCCAGAGAATTCCACGTCGTGCATTATTTGCCGACTCTGGGACTGGTTGGAAGAAGCGGAGAGGTGGTCAGTGCATGACATGGTGTCGTGGCATGAAAGAAAGCTGCAAAGGACTGGCTTGTGTTGGTCCTTCACGACTCCCTGGTTGGGGTCCGAGAGATGGTGCTACACAGTGGCTAGAGACGTTATCAGATATGGCTCAGAATAGAAGCCAGTGGCGATCCTGCTGTAACCTTCTACTTTCTTCATAAAAAGTGGTTGTGTCTTCCTTAACTGAAAGATTTCTTGTGATTGTACCTTTCCGTCGCCCCGTTTTTACCATTATTATTATTACACCACCTTACATCAATCTCTTATTATTCTTTTTTTCCTTCCCCTTAAATTCTCATTGTTTTGTGTGGCGCATATATGTTTGGCGCATTCTTGTACCAATATTTATGTGTTCAAATAAATAAATAATCAATTGACATGAGATGTGTCACTTGTGTTTATTCTTAATTTACCCTATCATCAAGTAGACTGTAAAGCCAGTGTCGGTTCAAAGAAACATCAAGGTGGTTATATCATGACAAGCTAATAAATAGTGAAGTACTGGATTTTTGAAGCATTCTGCTTTTAACTACAAATTTATCAATTAGAGTCTTACAAGGCTTTACTAACCATTATGATTTCTCTGATAATCAAATGAAGTGTCAGTCTCACCATTACCTACTTTTCCATAAAGACAGTATATATTAGTCTCATTTCAAAACCCTTTAGTTTATTTATGATCTCTTTTACTATTTTAAGGCATTTTACACCATTTTGCGGTTTCGATTTACCTAACAATCCGTACTTGTACATTTTTCCATGTTTTTATTTTGTTTGAGCTTTAAAGTTGACCCCTGACGAACAAATAAAACAATGCATTCAGAAATTACAAGCTGGCACCTGCAATGTAGGTTTCTCGAGCGTCCTTTTATTAATAGATGGAAAAGTACTAGAATTTCGTGAATACATTATTCAACGTTTAGTGTCTAAACCAGTACATCACGGTACTTCCGGTCCATCTAATTTGTCTTGATCGATTTCGGTGTTTCTCTAATTTGGTAGTTTGGAAATCATGTCAATTGAAATATCTGAGATATATATTTTTTTGTTTTTTCTACGTATGTCTTTTCGTATAATTCTTCCTATAGTTTAGTGCCTCTGAGGGTTAGTTACTTTCAAAATGGGCAAACTTTTTTCCAAACTCTTCGGAAGTAAAGAAATGCGTATTCTTATGCTGGGTCTTGATGCTGCTGGGAAAACAAGTAATTTTCAATATACCTAATAAATATGTACTAATTTGTAGCTATCCTTTACCGATTAAAACTTGGATCAAGCGTTAGCACCATCCCAACTGTTGGTTTTAACGTTGAAACCGTAACTTACAAAAATGTTAGATTTAATGTTTGGGTATGTCGAATTAAATTATCTTTTTTGAGCATATTTATGATTTCTTATAGGATGTTGGAGGTCAAGAAAAAATCAGACCATTATGGCGTCATTATTTCACGGGAAGTCAAGGTCTTATATTTGTTGTTGATAGTTCAGATCGAGACAGAATAGAAGAAGCTAGACAAGAATTGCATCGGATAGCTACTGATCGTGAAATGCAAGGTGCTGTCATCTTAGTATTTGCGAACAAACAAGATCTTCCTAATGGTAAGTTTGAACTACAAAGTGCTAATTGTCAGGAAGAAAATCGTTTGTAGTTACATATGAGCTTAGGAATTATTCTAGAACATACGCTTGAAATGTATTTGTTTAATATTAATATTAGAAGTTTTTATAAAATTCTTAAGTATGAAATATGCAAATAATTGACTTCCAGGCCTTATTTGGCTACTGCCATAGAGCGATCAAATAAATACTTCAAACGTATAAGAATAGGAATATCTTGGGTTACTATTATTATTATTATTTGATATTCTCAGACCAAACTTCAATCATTATTGTATCGCTACTGATTTTATCATAGCGTGAATTTTTCTAGCGTCACCTTTACTGAGATTGATAACTTGCTTGGAAATCCTGTGATTGACCTAAAGTGTGGAGACAATACAATCCTGTTAAGTGAATATATAATAATATGTATGGTTCACTAAATGTTTTAAATGGAAACTTAGGAATGTTTGGCTGGCAGTTTGTCTTTTCAGAAGGTAATGCTCGAAGATTAACCCATCTTTGATTTAAGTGATTAAACTTGTAGACTACTCATTTAGGGAGTTCTTTCAAGTCAGAAGGACTGGTCATTGATGAAATCTCATTATGGATAGGGTTTGTTCGTTTGGATTTACACGGTTTATCAAATAAGTAAGATAATTTTTTATAAAAGGGTGATCATATTACTCAACAATCTTTTCTGGATTATTGCGGAACTATATGATAGATCTTTAGTGACTAAGGACAATCGTAATAACCCTGACAGATTCATTTCGTTACCTTTCATCCATCTTCTTTCTTCATCGTGTATTCTTCTTGTTTATCTCGTTGTCTCTATTTTTGTCTACTCTTTCCTAACTGCTGCGCATTGTAATCATTTGAATCTATTACATTCTTTGCAATACTATCGTTCTGAACATTCATGGAATACGGCCCCTTTAGAAGCTCTCATTATTCATCAGATTTCTATCGTTCCTATTATTACTTAGTTGTATTCAATGACTGAAAATAGTTTTCAGTCTCAGTCATCTTGTAGTAAACGAGAATTCAGGTGGGGAAGACCAACTTATTGTTTGTTTCAAAATTACAAAGTGCTTTCAGAAAATATGGGAGCCAAACATTAAATACATTATTTTCACATCATCCTTCAGTTGTCCTTAACATGCTTCATGATTCTTCTAATTCTGTTGTTTTTAACATTGCTCTCTTTTTCCCTTCTGTTCTCTCCAACCCAATCTACCGCCAGGTATTCCACTTCTGATTGATGTTACATACTACTTATGTCTGTTAACATAAGTAGGATACACCTCAGTCCATGGTTACCTCCAAAAGTGTGATATAGAATATAGTTTATTGCAATGTCCTTTCACTTTACCTAGTGATCATATCAATATATCCAATCAATGCTTAAGAACTTTGTAAATATTTTACAACTGTTCGTTTTATATAATTCGGTCCTGTGAAAGGATAACTGACAGTTAAAGTCGCTCAAAATAAAAAAAAACATTTCTGGTGTACAGTAAATGAGTAAATCCAAGTTATAAATCTTTAAGTTTGCAAATGATGTCGGAATCTAGAGTGTTGTTTCTAAATATTATAATAAGTTACTCTCGCAGGTTAATTTAGCCGAATTGATTGAGTAAAATTGAACGGGCATTTTTCGGAAATAATAATCAACATCCGTATCACGATTCAAATAAGTCATATCGACTATCAACTACTTATGAACTAGTACTAAGTCCTTGCCAACTCATATGATATTAACAACTAGTACGGATACCTATTCACACAATATTATTGTTCTAATAATCAATATCACTGTTAATATTCGTATCAATATATCCTAAACTAGCTGTCAATAAACACGAAACCCTTTCTAGAAATATGTTAATCACTTTTGACTGTCTACTTCTTTATATCATAGAATTGTTTTAGTTAAACTTCGATCAGAGTTAATAACTAAATTCTACTTCAATTCATAGATATATTGTACTTGTACTTAAAATTAGCTTACGTAAGAGAATTATACCGTTAAAATATTTATAAAAATATACTTCATGTAATACTGTCCAACATGGTTGACATAATTATTTATTTATTTTGGCACACACTTTACTACATAAAATTATATCATAAAAACAAAGACTAATGTCAATTGATTTGTTACTAATTATGTTATAACAATTTTACTTGACTTGTTTTGCAATTACTATTGTATAAGTTCAATGTTCTCCCGAACTGTTCTAAATGTTCAAATAATGATTTAATGTTATGGGTATTCGAAGATAAAATAGTTACAGACATACATTATTATTATGATATTTAATATCTGTAATCCAAAAGTTATATTCTACTATCCAGATCATTGGTTTGTTGATTCAGAAACATAGTCTATAAGATAAATATGAGAAGTGAAGTATTAGACTTGTTAATTATCGACATCTTTAAACAGAATACCAATCCGAACCTAAATAAAACCCTACTCTCTTGAATCAATCATACTCTATTGACCTAATAATCAATAAAAACAGTGATTTTTTGTGTAATAAATATCTGCACTGAAGTCACTAGAATATTATTTTACAAAACTGAGGATAATCAAATAACCAGTGAAAAACATTCTCCTTACTTACTAAGTTCTGTTTATTCTCGAGATATAAGGTGGTCAATGGAGGACATAAAATGATGAGACAGTTAATAAGCCTGACTTCTAAGGACCATCAAGGGTGTTTTGAATGATAGATACAGAAATCAAATAAGTGTATTACCATAAATTATGCAGTGCTTTGCTGTATTCAAAATCTTATAAAATGCATTTTCCATGATTTTATCTCTCATCTTCATTCAGTCAGTCAATCAGCTACAACGTAGGACCAGGCACATATATGCATCGGTCCAGGTTGCCATACCGCATTAGCACAGCAAGATGAACACCGGATTCATAGGAGTGGTTAGGTCAAAGGTGGTAATATATAGGCGAAAGATTGCATGTAAGGATACAGTACAGGAAGAAAGAATTATATATATATATATATATATATATATATATATATATATATATATATATATAAGTAATATAATTACGTTTATATTTAACTTATCCACAAAACTGTACGTAGCTTATATTAACTATAATAAACATAAACTTATGACTTAATTTTCCTATATTTAAAAACAACCAGTCGGTTGAGATTATCTCATATTGTTTATCTGTATGGTTTATGTTTAGTTATGAAACCTAATGAAATTCAAGAACGTCTTATGCTAGCACGATTACATGGACACATATGGTATGTTCAACCGTCGGTTGCTATCAAAGGTGAAGGCCTATATGAAGGTTTAACATGGCTTAATGCAAACTATAATTCTCGGTGAACAATTCTTACTTTGTTTCTTTTGAAAATCCATGTTCTCTTTATTGTTTTTGTGATGATTTAATTTGTTTGTTTGTTTGTTAATTTCTAAGAAAGAAGTCATCAAACAATCAAAATAATAATAATAACCGCATAAACCTAATTCAACCTATGTACCAATTTTGTTTTATTTATATTTTCTGTGTTTATAAAACTGTAGCTTACTTTTTCCCCCTCCGTTTTTTTTCAAGATTTTTAATACTTCTTCAAATTGACTTGTATTAATTTGTGCACGGCATTTCTCCCTTGTATTTCCTACTTTCTTTCATATTATTTTATCATCCCTTCCAAATTGACAGAACTCAAATCAAACACATAACTAGATATTGTGTTCCTCTATTTGTATAGGAAATTCTGAATCGGATAATAATAATAATAATGATAGCGCTTTCACAATAACTCTTCCAGTTTTCACCTGCTATATATATACATATATATATCGTATTCAATTCTTATGCTATTGTCTTAATGCTTTTTGCATTAGCGTTGTTGTTGTTGTTGTTTAATATTCTAACTATTTGAATATTTACGAGAAAATGAACAAAAGCAATTGATGTTTTCTTAATTGTATTAATAATAAGGCTTCTGCCAGTCTATACATGTATTAATTAATTATTGTCAAATATCTCCTTCCTACTCTTACTCTCTTGGTTTGTTTGTTTTTTTCTAATTACTCCTTAATCTGGCATATCTCGATGTGCATATTTAACCTTTATGAACGCTAATTCAACTTTCTTTAAAAATAACGAGTTATTAACTGTATAAGAAATAGAACAGAGCTATGATTCTCTTTTTTTTCTATTCGTTTGTACAGTTTATTAATAATTTCTTACCAGTCAACTGAGTACTTCTGCGTGTCTTACTGATTGACTATCACAGTTTGTTTCTTTTCTATTTCTATGAGTGATTAGTCTCCATTACATCTTTCTTGTTCCTGTCTATTCCAGGATACTTTTCTTATTATCCATAAAGTGTATAATTTGTTCCTTTCATATGTGTGATAGAGAGATGGAGAACAATCGTGTTACAAATAATTAAACTGATAGGAAAAATGTTTATAAAACTCACTTTTGTCCTATTCATCATTTGGCCTATTCCCCTGCCTCTCCGTCCTTATTTATTTTTTATTACTTTTATATAAATATGTGAAGTAGGTGATCATTACAGAAATAAGGTCACCTTGAACACCTAGGTAAAACATCGATTGGTGTCGATTAACTATTCTAAACGTGACAATTAATTTTTATCCTTTTTTTCAAATTGCTTTACAACTATGTGCATCTATTACGCTATATAGATGTGTAAAATTCATTTTATAGAATTACTAACCAGAAATATACTAGGTTGCATAGTGTTATTTGTAGTATTTTGACATCTTCAGTAAAAGAAGTAAATTGCTTTTTTGGGGGGGGATTTTTCATTATTGCTTTTTCGAAATTCTTTTTCCTCTCTGCTAATACCAATTACGGTGAATTAGGATTTTGGTGTTCCCGGTATGTGTTTCTCTTCTCTCCCGTTCATCCATTTTTTTTCATTAAAGCTTCCTAGGTTTTTATGTTGTATTTATCTTTTTCTCATATATATTTCTCTGTGTAGAGAGAAACGAATAATAATAAGAACAAAAATAAACAAATTTGTTATAAACTGTGGTCCTTTTTTTATTAAATTTGGCTTAGAGTCTTGATTGTTCACCAATAACAGGCAAATATAATTGACATAACTCCTGGTCTAGACAATACGTCGTTCAAGTTACAGGTGTTTTTTTTCTTATTATGGAGATTATTGTTTATGTCTGTTATTTTCTTTTCTCAATTCAGTAAATGGTAATATCTTGTTAGATATATATTTGTATCTTAGCAGCAACAAATGAGACTGTGTGAATAACTTTTCAAAAAGTTATCCATTCATAAAAGTTAATATAAAAAATGTGAAATAAAAAAATCAGCTTAAATTTTCTACCATGATTTATGAGGTTGTCAAATATCAGGTAATTTGTGTTGAGACAAATAATCAGTGATTGTGTGTTGTAATGGGGGTGTCCGAAAACTGTTACTGATATATGGCGTACTACACACTAACTCTCCAGCTGGATACTTGAGTGGGAACACAAGAGTGGATGAGAAAGTATATTGGGCTATCGAATAGAATGCATTTATTTATACATCTCTACCCCTTAGCAAATCAATCCGTTTCTTAGCCAATGATATGCACATGTCCTCCAAGTCACTTCTGATTGCCATCGATTGACCTTCTCATTTGTATACTCCTGATTGGCTCACCATTATCAATGTACAAATTTGTTCATTATAATCGTACGAGCTCATCAATTGATCTAGTTTTGTGCATTAAAATTGTACATTCCACCTTCGTCAATCATGACTTGTAAGATAATTGTAATTTTAAATCCGTAATCGTATTTTTTTCTATTCATCGAATGTTTATGTCAGTTGCGATGTCGATTTGCTTTTGCTTCCTTTTCATGAGATTATAATTGTTTTACTTGCCTTTTCTTATCGATTCCAGTATTCCGGCCAACCGTTGATTGATTAAGTGATGCAAAGAGTTAGTACTAGGGAAATCAGAAGTTATGCAGTTTTGTCCTGTAACGACAACCCAAAGTACTTTTTCCCAATCCATATTTTCCCACAACCTTTTCTTTCTTCTGATTGGTTGTTGATACTGTTAGTTTGCTAGTTCTCTGTGTCCCATGGTCATTCTTTGTTGCCATATATACGGGGATGTTTCATTTCAGTAAGTCTTCAAAATATCAATTTTTCTGCACTGCTGCTTTCTTTGTAGGTTTCATCACTGGGGATTATTGTTTGGGAGTTGTGTGTGTTAGTTTCCGCCTTATCCAACTACATGGTATGTTATTGTTTTCTGTCGAAAAGTTGGGCTATGAATATGTTACTGTATGCTTCCAAATGTATAACTATAATTCGTTGAAAGAGATCTTTGTTGAGTTTCGTGTTACTGTTATTCTAATAGGTTTTCATTTACTTTCGGCTATAGCATACACTCAATGATAAAAATTATACTTACAAGTTTTTATTTATGAAAACCGAAAAAAATCCGTTGAGATATATATCATATTCTATTCCTCATGAATTGTCTATATCACGGTAGATATGCTAGACAAAATTTCTGCTCAGATTGAGCAATCTCACAAATAAAGTAGTCTTAAAAAATATCATAACCTTGTATGTTTGAATCACGGATGAACGTCAACACCGGCATGTTGATACATCCACTAAATGAATCCTGAATATAACGGCTTGCGCATTCTGGATCCCACCACTGGCCACAATTCAAATTTGTAAATAAATAGAGGCAATATCATGGTGTCTCTGCCCAAGATACGTGTATGGCAACAGTGACTGGTTAATTCCAGACATGAATATAAACAAAAAGGAAATAATTCTACTTAGCTTCTTTCTAGTCAGTAAAGGCTACAAACTTGGATTCTTTTTTTAATTCAGCATCTATAGAGATTTACGTGATAGTGCTTTCATATTAAAATCAAAACTGCAGTAATGAAAGCGAGAATTCAATCATTTTTTGTCCATCTTTCAGGTGGTAAACCGCATCAATTAGATTAAAACCATTAATTTTATTTGTATACCAATACTGCATTAGTTAGAAGATAGTTCAAACTTATAAACAATTACAGTGAAGTTGAACGCTTAAATTTATGAACCATAGATCTTTTAAAAAAAAAGCCCTAATATTGTAAATGATGTAAGTTCGAAAATGTTTAATATATAGTTGGTCAATTAAAAACCAAATACCAGATAAAATTTATTCTCCCTTACCAGTATATGATATCACACTGAGCTTTAAGAATATCAAAAGACCTAACTTGTGACTGAAAACAGTATTTAACAAATATATGACTATTTATAAGCATGTTTAACCAATCTAAAGTTATAATTTGAAAAGATTACTTTTTAGAAATGATATTGAATCTAATCCATATCTATAAACTGCTGAGAATAAGATATTAAGATTTTGTAAGATATATTTTCTAGATATAGGCAAAAAATTTACTGTATCATTGTGACATTTAGTCAAGGAGGGAAAGAGGGAGATTGTAACCATCCAGCTCATATAATGAAACCCAATTAAAATAACCCACCTGATTTACACTAACTCGTTATTCTTCAATGAATTGAAATAATTGTTCAATAATCCTGTAGTTTCCATGATTTTCTAGATATTGTTGAAATAGTCACATTTGAGGTCACTGAATAAGATGTACCTTAGGAAAGGCTTTAAAGGCATACTGATACGAAAACATTATACGAGAATTAATGGATTCATCGTATCTGCTCTATTAATCATCTGGAGGCTTTCATCCTGAGAGTGAAAATAACTGCCTACCTATGACATTCTATGTTGATAGCATTATGTCACTCGCAATTTATTTGGAATCACTGGTGGAACAAACGCTCCCTGATTGTATGTCCTGAAAGTTGTGACTGATAATGCATAATATCGATTGTATCTCCTGTCGAAGAGTCTCAAATCGTTGCAAAATAACTATCTGATGCTACCCATCATTATTCAGCTGATATTCATTTTATCGTCAAAACTAGCTTCAGATCTACAGGGTAAAACTCAACTATTGTTCGAATAATCATAATTCAATAGATATGTGTTACACTTTAGTACTGAATAAAACAGATTTAAGTATCCAAAGAAACAGGAAATTCTTCATCTCAGTACAAATTTATGGCGATTAAAATCAGTTTTATAATATTATCCTAATAATAGAAACTACTAACTAACTTGTATCCAAAGGTTCCATTCCTTCTCGTCTTCTCTTTATATAAATATCCATGATAAATCTTGTTTCTATGAAACTCTAGTAGTCAACTGATTGAATATCAAGTCGCTTTTTTGCCACATTTACATGATATGTCGTGTGATTTTTAGTAAATGAGATAAAAAATAATATTTACAGTTGAAATATTATTTGTTTCTAATTATAATTAAGTAAAATGTCAGGCGATTGATAATTAAAGTTGAGAAGTGATGAAAGAGTTACTAAGGGAAAAGGAAGAACACATCAAATCTGTAGACTGATACAAGACATACAGATTAGAAATTAAAAAATAAAATTTGGTTGGAAAAAATATACATGAAAAATCAAACAAAGTTTGACTAAATGATACTCTTATCAAAACTGATCACGTCTTAGAAACTAATATGAATTCTTTTGAGATGAAGTTATACAGATGCTGCTTAAAGCGCTTCTTACAAAGACTCTGATTTATTGTATGGTTCGAATAAGATGGTGGTTGGAGATAGTCAACAGGAAACATTGGACCTAGGTTTCGTGCTACATGGCACTCATCAGCAAGGTGTACCTGTAATCTTGAGGGAACCGACGCTCTCTGACTGAGAGACGTTACCGCTGAGCTATCCGGGCCGCGACTGACCTCCTGTAGGACTGAGATGTACTTACAATTGGTTGATCACTAGGTAATGATCAATGTCAGGTCTTTAATGCAGATCGAATCCATCGACCAAGTTGCAACCTGGCCACCAGGCTAGTTTGTTGACTACTTCCAACCACTATCATATCTCAACATAGTGCACGCAATGTCGAGTAATCTAGACTGGTGTCTCCTTGTTTTCTTAGTAAACGCTACTGGAGGTAGGAAGAAAGCTACATCCTGACGAATAAGCGTTTAAATAATTTCGGTCACACCTCAAGGTCAATTGATTCAAAAAATTATAGAATCAAATTCTGATTAGCGCTTCTCTCTAGTGAAATCAATCTAAGTCCAGGATCATAACACTCATATTTTACATTGTTAGTCACTGTTCATTGTTTGTTGGTTTTTTTTGCTTTTCATATCATCCAAATTGATGGGATAGAAGGGGATACCTCAGCAGTGAATAACAGCTTCATTCGCTACGAAACTACTCTGAATTGAGATACTACATGAAAGAAATAGTAATACTAACCATGTCCAAAAGTAAGCTTCTTAAAATCTATTCACAATCACAAAAACAACCCCATGCTTCACAATAACAATAAACTGTTCAGATATTCACAGACAGAAGAAAGAGGTTTTGCTGAATTCCTCAATTAATAAAACGCAGATTAAATATTATTGAGATCATGAACCAATCGATGATTTCAGTGGAACCTAACAATCTCTGCAATCTTATACTGATAGATTAAGCGCTTACATTGCAGTAAACACAAGCCTAGCATGATAATTAGAGAATTATGGAGTGACGAAATAATAACACTTCAAATGTTAAATAACAGGAGGAAAACTGGTCTTTTAAAAGATACCTTCTTACTGTCTCAAGATAAAGAAACACTACTAAATAATCTATCAATCTTCACTAGTGAAGAACAAGTGATATTGCCAATTAAAGTAACTAATATAGATGAATTGCAAGCAATAGGTTTGGTTTGTTAACCTAGGCGTTCGAACTGTAAGAAGAACTGACAACCTCCGCAAAAACCCTTTCTGATGCTAGTCAACCTATGCTCACCAGTGGCTAGCTTCAAAATGTATATCCTAGAGTTCTAGTGAGAAGCAATGATCAGTGGAGTTCAGCCGGGTCAGTTGTGAGATAGTAAC